ATGAAATTTACAATCCAAAGGGAAGCAGAACAAAAATTTGGAAATCTCAACCTGCAGAGAATAAGAAAATGTGTTCCTGAGAGACTCACACCAAAGGTGTAGCAAAGAGACAACTTGGTAAGGAGATTAGCATGAATGGGCAAAGCCTGGTGCATTTCATCAAGACAATGGAAGAATCACCCTGAAGGCATTTGAAGCTCTTGGGAGGTGGTAGTGCCTAGTGGAACTGTGGGTGGGGGCAGGACCACAGCAAAGAGCCCCCATTAATACAATACCTAGTGTAACTGTGGGAGCAGGGCCACCCTGGAGACCCTAGACTGGTGTAGTTACCGATATGAAACTCCAGTGAGAAAGCCACAAGCGTGAGACTCTAACCTGTGAGCGCTGCCATGTGGGTGACACCCAGCAAAGCCATGGAGGTAGAGCCCCGTGGATCCTTGGAGGCCCAACTTCCACCCCAGTGTGTCCAGAATGTAGGACTTTGAGTTAAATATTATTGTGAAGCCTTAAGATCAAATATTTGCCCTGCTGGGTTTTGGATTTGGTCAGGATCCCCTTTCTTCTTTCCTATTTCTCCCTTTTGGAATGGAACAGCCTATCCTATGCCTGTCCCACCATTGTATTTTGGAACCACGTTTGATTTCACAGCTGGAGAGCAATTTGAATCAGAATAAATTGTACCTTGAGTCTCAACCATATCTGATTTAGATGACACTGTGGACTTCAGACTCTGGAGTTAGTGCTGGAAAAAGTTAAGACTTTTGGGGTCACTGGAGTGAGATGAATATATTTTACATGTGAGGACATGAATTTTGGGGGCCCAGTGGTAGAATACTGTGGTCTGAATGTTGATGTCCCCTCAGATTCATATGATGAAACCTAGTATCCAATGTGATAGTATTGAAAGGTGGGACCTGAGGAGTTCAGGGCCACAGCAAGCTATGACTGCACCACTGCATATCAGCCTGGGTGACAGAACAAAAGCAAGACCTGGCCTAAAAAAAAAAAATTAAAAAAGAGTGATTAGGTCATGAGGGCTGCCCTTAGGAATGGGATTAGTGCCCTTATGAAAGAGGTTCATGGAGGCTCCCGTCCTTTTGTCCTCCTCTGCCATGTGAGGACACACAGAAGGTGCCATCTTTGAAGCAGAGATCAAGTCCTCACCAGACACTGAATCTGCTGGCACCTTGGACTCCCAGCCTCCAGAACTGTGAGCAGTACATTTCTATTGTTACTAAGTTACCCACTCTATGGTATTCTGTTATAGCAGCCCTAAGAGACTAAGACAAGGGTTTGTAAAGCCTAGTGGGAGGACAGAGACCGTGAGGATGACTCTCACATAGTCCGATGACATAGGTATGGGGTGTTGTGGGTTTGAGTTTCTGGGGCTCAGTCTTGAAGAATGAGTTGGCTAAAATCTTGGAGCTTCCAAATCACTGTGCTACGAATGGGTGCAAGGTGTACAAAAACATGGATTTTCCCCAGTTTCTGGTGCAGCCTGGCGCTGGGTTACGGTTCATAAGCTCTGGGTCTCCTCCACTCACCGCAAAGAGTTCTGTATATATTATAATTTTCTTTATGTGCCATGCCCCGAAAAAGATGGGAATCACTGGGTTAGAGGAAGCAGAGTGAGGTGGACCAGCTAAAAGGATGTATGCGAAGAAGTGAAAAAGATCAGCCAATCTGAAGAGCTACAAGCAGCTCCCCAGGGGCTCTAGTGAAGAATACACGTGGGTGTGGAACAGCGCCTGGTGCCAGAGAGGCCAAGTAGAAAGCCAGGACCTTCATGTCGGCTTGGTGGCAATGACACCCAACAGTGTCAGTGGACACTGGGAAAAACTTGGACCTCCAGCTGGCAGTAAGGGGACACCCTACTCCCTCCCAGCTGGGGTGGTGTCACAGAGGCGTAGTGGAGAGTCAGTTTTATCATCCACTGCTCAGTGGTAACGAGGCTGTCACACCCCCACACATCATGCCAGTGGAGTCATGCTGGTATCAGTGGCAGCTCTTTAAGACCTGGAACCTACCCAGCAGTAACAAGAAGGCCTTCCTTCCCCCTCCGCTTGTCAACAGAGGCCAAATGGGGAACCTGGACTGTTTCTCCTTTCACCTGGCAGGAACAAGGCAGCACCTCCCTTCCCTCACCAAAGCCCTAAGGAGGCCATCTAATATGAGCCAGAATCTCCTAACATAATACATAAAATGTCCATGTTCTGGTTGAAAATCACTCATCCTAGTGAGACCAGGAAAATCTTGAATAAAATGACAGATAGCAATGCCAAGATGGCACAGAAGTTAGAATTTACCTGATAGTTACCACAGTGGACATTTTAGGCTAAAGAGGTACGTAGGAGGAAAATCATGAAGGAACGTGCATTGATAACCCAAGGAATCTGCAAGTTAGCCTGGAAGCTGTAGGAGGCTCTGAAGGATTTTGGTCATGGTGGAGCATGCACCATTTAATGTCTATGTCATATAGCTTTGGCAGCAGCAGAATGTGGAACCTATTGGCATGGTGAGTGCACGTGCTATGCCCTCTGTCTTATCTACCTTTCTGCTTCTGCACCCACCTAGGCTGTGCGTGCACAGAATAATGTGTGTGTACCAACTTGCTCAGGACAGGACATCTTTCCTGCAACCCTCACTTCTCTCTCCTACATGCTCAAAGCTTTTTCTCTCGACTCTACACCCCTCTCCAACAATTCCTTAAAGCAAGAGCCTTGAAAGAGTTGACTAGACTAATTCCTCTCCTCCCATTCTTTTTGAATCTGTTCCAAGCCTTCTCTCTATGAAGTAAATCAAGACTACCGATGACTTTTCTGTTATTACTGTGTGTGTCCAATCTTCACTCTTCATTTCTCTTGACCTATCTATCTGCAGCAAAGGATCGCATCCCTTTCCCTGAAATCCTTTCTTCCGCTGTCTTCCAGGGCATTAAGTTCTCTTCTTCCTTCACGGAAGTTCCTTCTTGGTCTCCTTTTCTGGTTCCTCTTCATCTCACTGACTTACAAGTGATGGACATTCCATGGGTCTGTTCTCTGATCTCCACTCAAACTACAGCTTTAAACGACATCTATATTTTGATGGCTCTTAAATTGCTATCTCCAGCTGAGATCTCTCCCACCTCCAGATCTGCATCTCAAAACTCAACATAATCACCTTGTCCTCCTAAAATCTCCCCATCTCAGAAAGAGGCAATTCTAGTTTTCCAGCGCCTCTGGACCCAAATCTTTGGATCATCCAACTTATTTTCCATCTCACAACCAATCTGTGCACTAAATCTTACTGGCTTTACTTTTTCAAAATACACTTGAAGTCTGGCCAGTTCTCAGTGCTTACACCCTACCACCCCGGACTATGCTAGCATTCCTTCTTACGTTCATAGCAGTGGCCTTCAATGGGTCTCTCCACCTTGCCCCATAGCCTATTCTCAGACATTGCCAGAGTGGTTCTGTTAAAATCACATTGGATCACACTAGTCCTGTGCTTGTCAATTCCTCCTCCCATCTACCCAACAGCTCCCATTAAAGCTCAACATTGGCCCTTTATTCTCTGGCCTCCAACCAGCCCACTGATTTAATTTAATTCTTTGTCCCTTGCTTACTCCATTACTTCTCCTCTGGCATTCTTGCTGCTGGTCCTCAAGTGCCCAAGCACGCTCCCACCTCAGGACCTCTGCACTTGCTAGTCTCTTGATGGAGCTTAGTTCTTTACTTTTTATGGTCCCTGCTAAAATGTTTACCTTGCCTACTCAAACTAAAGTCTAGCCCCTCTTCCTGTTACCACGGTCTAATTTTCTCCATGGCTCCATCAGCACCTGATATTCTCGTGGTGTGTGGCCTGTCCCTCCCATGGGGATCTAAACTTCTCCAGGGTAAGACCCCCTCTGTTTTTTTTTCTCTGCTCTCTCTCTAGTATGTAAGACAGTACCCAGCAGTTAAGTTCTCAATAATGTGCTTAATGAATTAAATAATGTAGGCAGTAAAATAAGCCAAAATTAAGGTTGTAGGAATGGGATCAAGGAGAAGGGGACAGATAGAAGGTAAGCCAGAAGGTTTGAATCCATGGGATTTTACTGGTAGATTTGTGATTTGTATTAGTGATTCAGCAGGTAAAAAGGATGCAAGCAAAAAGAAGGTTCAAATTCTTTTCTGTTTACCGTAGTCTGGCTTATGTTCTAAAGTTCTTATTTGTTTAAAATTAACTCTGAACCAAAGGGTGCCCGAAGCTGCTCCCCCGCTGTCTGTAGCCCCCCTGAGCTCGCCCTCATGATAGACACACACCCTTCCCTCTCGCATGCCCACTCGCTGCAGAGAGCCACTGCTCGAACACACGGGCTTGTATTCCATGCGTTTCTGAGATGGGGAAATGTGTACTGGACACATCTAAAAGGTACAAAAGAATTATGTCTTAGGATGCATATGAGGATAAGAAAAAGCTAAGCTATTTGAAGTCATTCTGTGGTTAACACAATGCTCCAAACATGGCATGCTGTAAAAAGTGAATGCCTCAAAAAAATGTGTCTTTGAGGCAAGAAAGTGACAGTTTAACAATGTGCAAGACAGTTCTTGAAATTCCAAGTCCAGGGAACATGTTGCGCGAGCTTCTAACAGAAGAAATAAAACACATCCTCCCAGGGCGTATTGAATTAAAATCACAATGCACTAGTAAATGATGAAAAGAGAATGAACAGAATAATACTGTCCACAGGGATTATGACCTTTGTGTTCCATAACAAATTACACTGAGGCATGAAAATCACGTTTCTATTCTGACCGTGCCACTCTGCTTCCTGCAAAAGCCTTTATAATTAACCTTTTATGTGACAGAATACTTTTTGCATAATGCTTTCATATTTATTGGTCCATAACTGAGATGGATAAATCATTTTCAAATGTGGAATATGTGTAGAATCTTGACTTCTTGCAGTGAGTTGCAGCTGTACACGGTTTTCAAGTGTACACAATTTAGAGCTGTGCTGAAATAACAAGACTTTGTTCTTCTAGGTTTAAAGTAGAAGAGATTTCAATAGGCAGCCTTTATTAACTACTATACAAATCACTCTCTTTTTGTTATTGGGAGACAACAAAATAAGATAGATTTTCTTTCCTTTTTTCAAAAAAGTAGGTTCTCCAAATTAAAAGCATACCATATAATAAAAACAAGTCACAGAACACAAAACTATGCAAACAAAAAATTAATTAAGATGTTTTTCAAGTTCCCAAGTGGATTCATTTACTGACTAGGCACGTTGGTGAGTTGACTATTCTTAAGCAGTCCATAAATAGAAGGAAAGTTCCTGAAAGAGAGGAAAATGAAATATATTTGTATATATCAAGAAATTAATAATAACCATATGCTCGTTTGGGAATGGCAGCGTTTAGAGGACACAGGCAAGTAGACACTTAACAGAAATAAGGATGTCTATGGAAAACAATGCAAAACAGAATCATTAACATGAAGGCCATAAAATATTTGTGTTAAGTAAAGACAGATGAATGATTAACTGGTTTAATGATGATTACACTACTATCCATTATGGTATTTATGGAGTGATTTCAGAATGGTAACGCCTTGTTTTACATAAAACCTCAAATATTAACCTATAAGTTCCTAGGGGTCCACCCTGGCAGAGTCCTTGCATTCTTGTCACCTGATAAGAGACTGAACTTTCAGATATATTTTAAATTTTATTACCTAACGCCAAAGAACCTTTTTTGATGTGCTATACGAAACAAAACTGTTATTTAAAAAACTGGCTGGTGATCAGAAAAACAAACAAACAAACAAAACACCCAATCGCAGTGGAGAAATGGCCACTGTGGTGATGTTGACTTCTCATGGCTCTGTCACACGTCGCAGGCCCTAGGTAACTGTTCAATACCACAAAGTGTGCTGAAAACAACTCAGGACACTGCTGATGGCTCCACAGGACCCAGCCCCTTCCTATGTCTCCAGAGGCATCTCTTTCATTTCTCTCCCAGCACGTTATATTCCAGCAGCTGCTTATATGTTCCCAAAACAAATGATGCCATTTCATGTCTTGGTTGACACCCTCCTCTCCCACCTGTATTAGCTTATTATGTCTTAACATTTTCTCCTCCCTTCCTGGCTTGCAAGATTTTGACTTTCAAAACTCCAGATTTTATTTCCTCCTTTGTCCTCGGAGCAAGTTCATCTCTTTCTCCTCCGCACCATCGCTGCCCTTCTCTAGCCTTTTATTACTGCAGAGTGCCAGGGACACAGTGGGCATCTCAGTGTCACCTGCATAAAGCATCAGCACTGGTAGGATCGATCAGATGCAAACTGTGATTGAAAGGCGAATCTTTTAGTTACACATTGAATACAGTAAACCTACTGATGAGGGCACTGCTTTCATCAACCAATAAATGTTTCTTGAATGGCTTGTGCTGAAGGCTTTAAGGTTTATGAAATTTGACAGACACACCTGTGACCCTCAAGGAGCATACTAGGGATGAAGGACATTTACACAGCTCCAAACTGTCAACCAGCAGGTCAGAATCAGACATCTGCCAATCGAGTCCCCTCAGCCAGGGTTCTCATGGGGAGAGAAGAGAAGGTTCTTCTGGCTGAGAGAGAAAAGATCTTGAAGAAATGGCAGGATCTGGATAACCAGAGAAGAGGAGAGGGTGGGCAATGCCCGTGCAGGGGAGAGCCTGTCTGTTTCCTCAGAGAGCCTGTAGGCCTCTCCTGCTACCCTGGTGTGGCTACCATAGTCCCACAAAGCCTGCCCCACCATGGGCCAGCCCTTAACAATACACTTGCTGATGTAAATAAGCCCCAGGAATGCGAGGAGACCAGCAGGAGTCTGAGGAAGGGTCACAGGACTTTCAGCTCTCCCCGTAAGACGCAGACCAGTGTCCAGGAGGTGTCCTTACTGGACCCAGCATGCCCTGCATCTCCTTGCTAAATCGCACAGGTAGCCAGCCTGCCACATGCCAGATGTCATGCTGGGTATAGAAGACCATTTTAAACCAACTTTTGGGCAGGTGAGTTTCTGGAGTGGCCACAGGAGCTAATCTTGTAGATCATAATGCAAACATACAGCATTTAGATAGGTTTCTTTTACAAAAGCATATTAAGATGCACCACGATCTCTATGGGAAACATCTATAAAATCCCAGTAAGTCTATTTTAACAATTCATTCCACAGATGTTTATAGACATGGCTTCTTGCATTGCCTTTAATGGGAGCAAAACATTAGAAGCTAACTATATCTCTGTCAGTAGTTGTTTGGATTATGGCTCTTTCATAGAAATAGTATTCAGCCCATACAAAGGAAAAGGTAACTTTCTAGTATAAAATAACAGAAAATGAGCTCTAAGACATACTTCAGAGTAAAACGAGGGGAGAAAATGGTATAATGTTTTCTATGTAAAAAATAGTGATAATTTTAAAAAAATGCTTTACTTATGCACAGACTATCTCGGGAAAGATACAGGAAAATCACTACAGAGAGTTGCCTGTGGGTGTGTGGGGGTAAAGGTGGGAATTAAGACCACTGTGTGTGTATATTTTGTACCAAGCACATGTATTACCGTCTAAATAAAGGACATATTTTGGTTTTCCAACTTCACATTCATCATTGAAAACAATCTACTGAGTAGAGAAACATCACACTTCCACTAAGAAAACAAATGAATACAAATGCTCCTCATCTTAGGATGGGGTTACGTCCTGTAAACCCGTTGTAAGTCAAAAACATTAAGTTGGAAATGTACACGATACACTTAACCTACCAAACATCATAGCTTAGCTTAGTCTACCTTAAACATTGCATATGGTTGGGCTGAATCATCAAATACAAGGCCTATTTTATAATAAAGTTTGATATCTCAAGTAATTTCTGAATGCTGTACTCAAAGTGAAAAACAAAATGGCTCACTGCCAGTGCCTGGCATTGCAAGAGTATCATACTGCTATGGCTAGCTGCAGAAAAGATACGTATTCAAAATCTGAAGTACAGTTTCTACTGAACATGTATTAGCGACTGTCTGTACCGAAAAGTGCTCAGTGTTAGTGTTTCAAGAATTATAGGTTCATTTGTTCACTCGTTCATTCCCCACCGAACACCTTGTCAGTTCCCACTATGTCTATGTGCCAGGCAGTGTGCTAGTATTTAGAAGTACAAGTCCAATAAGACATGGTTATTCTATCTTTAAGGAACTTCCAAGTCTTGCAGTCAGGGAGAAAAACCCACCGACAAGCAGAACAGAAATCTAGCCTCAGGATAACACCACCATCCCTGCACACTTCACAGTGGTACCTGTTTGTTTATTCTATCTCTTTGTTTTGACTGTCTGTTAGGTACTAGGAACTGTGTTAGGTAGCAGACACATAAATCCTGCCAGCGGTGCTTCAGATGAGATAAACACACAGGACAGAACTTAATAACCTGGTAAGTTCTCCTCAAATGTAAGGATGACTAACTTAATCTAATAAGGCCAAACAAGACCTAGTACATCGTCCTGTACTATCAGCCACCGAGCTACCACATCCACTTTATTCACTCAGACATCCGATGGCTTGTTCATTTATCACTTACTAGGCGTGAGACAGGGTAACTGCACTAAAGATGTTGACAATCTGGTGGGAGGAAAGGAGGGTCAACAGCCAATCTCAGGATACTGTACTGCAGAATTCATAGAGTAAGACGAGGGTCCACAGAAGAGCTGTGAACATGGCGGGCTAGGGAGGGCCTCCAGGGTGAGGGGATGCTTCAAGTTCCACTGGGAAGTCTCGATAGGCCAGCAACAACTAGCTAGACCAAGAGCTGGGTGAGAGTTGTGTTCATTCATTTGTGTTCATTTATTTGAGTGGGGTAAGGAACTGTGACTTCGGGCGGAGAATGGCACTGATAGAAAAGCTCTAGATGGTTTTCAATCTATCAGCGCTGGACCACAGTGGGGTGGGGTCAGAGCATGCTGTGCTCCAGGCGGCTGGGGAGGCCAGCAGCAGAATCACACCGGGCTTGATGTTCAGAGCCAAGGAGGCTGAGTTTTATCCTGAAAGTCACTGAAGGACTCATCACATTAAGATCTGAAAAATGATTTCAGCAATGGGTGCTAATCACTGAAATATACAACAGAGATTCTTGAAACAGGAATGTCAGTCAGAATCAACTTCAACCGGACAGGATTTTCCATCGATAAGGGAGGGTGAAATTCAGACTGAAAAATGATCTGCAGTCTTTCCCAATCAGAAATAGAATCAGGCATAAAATAGATTGTTTTTTTAAAATAAGTATGGATTTTTTCCTTTCTATCCCTACAAAACACTGAATATCAATATAAACAGTAGATAATGTTTGGCAGAAAACAATACACTTTATTTCTTAAATTTATCACATATTCTATAAAACGTCTCATATTTTCATTTAACTTTTGACTCTAGAGTTTTATTTTTTCTTCAAATCATTAGTTTTAAATTCTGGAACCTGTCTCTGTATACAGTGACCAGAGTCTTTAATTTTGAGTTAAACAAGAGAGCTAGAATATCTAAATTGTAGTGCTGTTCACACGATTGTGTGGGTTTTTTTGGGTCTGGGCTGACCGTTCCTAACATTGCCTGTCAGGAATCATCTTGATCACCACTGACAATGCCATTCACTTACTAAACCCTTACACTGTCAAATAACTATGTGAAGAGATGGTTACAAGAGGATGAAAAAGTGAGAGCACCTATTTTTTAAGGCACGGATTGGCTATAAAATCACTAACCAGTGGAAACAGAAGTTTGTAGAGTTCTTTTTGGAACACAGACTAAATGAGGCACTATCTGCCCAAGGGAATGGAGTAGGTCAAGCTTAAAGGCAAAGAGGATACTACACTTGAAAATGGTTGCACTGAATTTGTGCTTCTTAGCAGAACCTACAAGACCCTTCATTACATGTCCCTTTCCTACCCAGCCAGCATCATCTCTTACTTTCTCTAATGATCTAATATACCTGAAGTTTCCTCAATGATCATGTTTTCTTATAATGGCAAATATTTACATACAGCAACCAATGAGTGAACACCTTTATTTGTGCCAGGTATGCTTCTAATCTTCACAGCAACACTAAGGTAGGTATCACGACTGTCTGGGGAACCTGCAGTTTAGACTCCTGTTTAGAGAGGTTAAGTCACTGACTCAAGGTCACAAAGCGAGTGAAGGGCAGAGCAGAAGTGTGGATGCTCCGAGAGGACCTGCCCTGTGTGGTTATCTTCTACTGGTCTTAATATCTCCATGGGCCTCTTCTGCGACCTCTGACCAACCTGCCAGGGTGACACATCTCCCTTCCATGCGCCTAGAAAGCACGTGTATCTCTGTCAGAGCTCTGCAGACGTTGTCTCTGTCCATTTCCCCAGTAGAGTGTGGCACTTGCAAGGACAACAATGATGTCCTTAATCACTGTCTTCCTGCCATCTGCAACACAGCAGGTGTTCAGCAGATATATCCGAGTAAATACTGATACTGATTTGACTTGGAATACCTGAGACAAGAAGATTCAGAACCTAAACAAGTGAAAGACTCCATGAAGGAATCTGGGGCAGGGGCGGGGAAGAGAGAGAGAAAGGGGCAGTTACCATTCACGATGCTCAGCGTTGTGTGAGATACTCTCTGGGAAACAAGGTAACAAAAATTAACGGCTCCTTCTCTTAAAGAGCCTTGAATCTAATGGAGGAGCCACTGTAATATAAAGAATGACACTGTAACAACATGGTTAAGATCAAAGACTCTGGATTAAAGTCAATCGTTCAAATCGGGGCTCTACCAGTTATAAGGTACATGAGCAACATAAGCGTGAAATTCACCTCCTGAAGCTTAAATTTCTTCCTTTTTTAAAATGTAGATGACACCTTCTTATGGCTGTGAGGATTCAATAAAATAATTTACAGAAAGTGATAAGCACATGCTTGGCTGTTATGGCAACTTACAACCAATGTAAGTCATATGATACCAATATTAAAATAAGGAAACATAAACCAAGTATGCTCTTTAGAGAGGGCAGAGGGATCACAGCCTGATTTAACTGGTAAGGACACCATGGAAGAGAGGGCATGGGGCTGAGTTCTGAAGGACGGGTATGATTTCTTCATGCAAAGATACAGGCGACAGCAAGTTGTGTGTTATGGGCTGTCACCTCCATTTGGTTTTGCAGTATTTGAATACAGGGTTCCATGTCTTATCAGTCTTTGTATGACCAGTGCCCCTGTTGTGCCCAGTATGGAGCTCATGTTCCATGGATGCTGTCATATGAGAAAATAAATGAATTCCACGGGGGCAAAAACAAAGGTGAGAAGGAAGCAATTCGGGAACAATGAAATGTGCTCTTAGAGACATGAGAAGACAGGCTTATCTATAGCAGGGTCTTCCCATGGAAACAGAAAAAAATCAGGTCTGGTGGAGCATCAGCCAGATAAGAGAAGATCTCGAAGGCCAAGTAGGAAAGTTCCTGTCTGATAGTGATCTGGACCTTTCTGGATCACAATCCCTTTTTACAGTCTGATAAAGTTATGGATGCTTTGAAAAAATGACAAGAAATATAAAATTGTACAGTATTTCCTAGTAATTAACTCTGAAGAGCACCTGAGGATTGACCCTCTACCTCTCCATAATTCTGGATTTATTATTCTGTATGCCAACTCCCTAAAAAATTATTTAATACAGAAAAAAGTTGTGAAAAACTTCAGTAACATCACACACTACAGAGATGCGGTGGACATCACGTTCCCATTCCGTACAAGAGAAAAACAAACAACAACAAAAATCCAAACAGACAAACATAAAGAAAATACAATAAACTTAGTTTGGTCCACAAAAATGATGAGAACTATTTTCTTTCTAAAAGTAATTTAATTATTTCAGGCTAATTTTGGCTATTAAGGAAAACCAAGGTCATATATTTTTCATATATATTAAATATGTAAATACAACTTTGACAATTAAACTTTACATGATTGTATCACTTTCAGCTTACAGAACACTCTGACGATATTATCTTAATTCTAACAAGGGCATGGGATAAGCATCATTTTCACTGAACTGATAGAGAAAGTGAGACTTGCCCAAAGTCACAGTTACTGGCAGAGCTCAAATACAAACACTGAAAAAGTAAGACCCTCTGGAAGATCACGGCCTAAGTAGTATTTTTTGATGCTTTAGAAAAAAAACCAAGAAGATGTAAAAGAGAGACAAAATTCAGAAGCACAGAAAACCATGCTTCCACAAGACTAAGAGAAATACTGTCAAAAATTTCCAGCATATTTGTGTAATTTTTTTTTGCCTAGGCATGCACATAGAAAACAAAAATTGAGATACTATATATTAAGTTCGGCAAATTGCTCTTTTTACTGAATAATCTGGAAAATTTTTTTCATGCTATTGACTAGACTGCTAGATATTTTCTGAAGAAAGTAATCTGAATACTTAAATACCAGGATGAAACTGAGCCTCCAATCTCTGCCGCTTATAATGAAGCTTCCTGGGCCTGACTTGTTTACATTCAGGAAGCTTCTTTTCTGACTTTTGGAGTTAATCTGACATAATCACTGGTGTTGTACTAGGAAATCAGCAGGGGAAATTTTCCATGTGACTTCAGATAAGCGTGAAATTGTCTTCATCTTCCACACAGTTCAGGATAATTGGAACAAAAAGGCAAACTTACCTTTTTTTGCTTCAGGTGTTCAACCAGTTCCTGTGACATTCCAAGATGGCTGACATTTCCTAACAAAAGAAAAGACCTTTTTACTCAAAATAAAGAGAAAAAAATCCCCCAAGAAATAAAAATTAAACATTTTACATAATCTACAATTAAAAAAGCTTAATGATTAAAGAATAACTTTATTAAATATTTGTCAGTTTTAAGAAGTGCCCTCAATTACTAACCAAATAATGTATTACAAATAACTAGTTATGAGGTTTTACAGTTGTTTAATAGGGAGTAATTGGCCCCAATTAAACTGACTAAACTAAGGTTTTTTAGATTACTAAAACAAATTAAACTTTTTAAAATGAGAATTTAGGTGATCTTAAAACTTTTCTAAAATGGATAATGAAACTTGCTAAGTTGTAATCTCCCTGGTTTTATTAGTTATATTAAGATAAATTAAGTGAGATTAAAAATCTTATTTGATTTATTTACCTTTGAAAATGAAGACCGTTTAAGGGTTACACATCCTCAGCCTTGGCGAGTGCGACCTCAATTAGTCAAGCCAGAAAGTCTTTAAAAGCTTTGTGCTTAGTGCTTCCAGCATGGAGCGAGGTGTTCATTAAGGTACCAAAATTCTCATAAAAAATCCAAAGTTGCACTAGTGAAAAAACGCTCAACAAGATGAAAACTGATCACATCTTTTTCAGAAAATCCAGTAGTTATTTTAAAACCAGTTTTTAAACAAGATTTGGTTTTGCGTAGTTTAACGTGCCACTCAAGCAGCTCGATACCATTTGGACTCTTTAAACAGCATTTAAGTCTATGGTGAGTATATAATGGTACATTTAATTTTATACCATTTTTAAAATAAGTTGTACAATGTTTAGTGTGACCCTTTTATGACAAGCATTGTTAAATGAATTCTTTCCCTGTTTACAACTATTTATGAAGGCCTTTTTAAATAAAAAAAAACCCATGAAATTGTTAGCTCACACACACAAAATTTCTTTCAAAAGTTTATTTAGTATCAAGCAAGAGGAGACTTTGCTTAACACTACAGAACATTTCAAGACTTGAGTTACAAAAGAATACCACATTATTAGCACTTGTAATTGGCTTCCCTTTTTACGCATGTTGGCAAGAGAAAAAAAAACTAGCATATGGCTGAAAGATCAAATAACTAAATTCTATGGAAACCTTTAAAATGAAAGGTGAGGCTTATGTTAAAAGAATAGATTAACATATTTAGTAAACCTATTTTTTGTTTAACACTAGTTAATCAAAGTTATTTTTTTTCCTTTTGATGACCTATTTTTTCATATACAGACTGGAAATAACAAAATTTTACATGTCTTTTTTTTTTTTTTTTTCTGCCCAGGTTGATGTTTCAACAAAGTAGTTTTAAGTTCCATCCATTCAGATTTTAAGCATTTTGATTTATTTAAAAAGGGATTGTTCATAGAAAAAAATTACTTTGAACAGTATACAGGACTGGTGGAGATTGGCTATTTCACAACATCAGACAGTACAATCAGTATCTGCCATATGGCTGGTCTCTGTAGACGCCCTTTGCTGTCCTCGCTGAAGGTGCCTTGTGTCTTGAGTTAGTCCACTCTTCTTGTCCTACAATCAGTAAGATGAACCACAATTAGATCGCTGCCACGAATCCCACAGGCTTCATTTTTCAGACTCTAACTTAGCCCTGAACCAAAGGTACATGTCATATTGAAAATATATACCCCTGGTGTACTGAAAAGAAAAACAAACAAGGAATTTACTTAAATAAATTACAAACACAAGGAAAAATAATCATCTCACTTGCAAAATTTGTCAGCATGAGAAGAAAAACGGTTCTTGTATCTGAAATGGCAACCAACTTTGCAAGGACTTTCCTTTCGGTTACTGATTTAATAACAGTTTACAAGTTCAAGTAGCAAAGAGAATTGCCTTTTGCTAAACATCTGGACATTTATGAGTGAAAAAGAGAACAGGAAAAGGATCACTTAGATGTTTTCCAACAGTAAAAACAAAGAAAAAACATAGATGAACATCTGTGAAGACAAAGGAGAAGAAAACTGGAGAGCAAAATGGGAAGGGGCAGACTGAGAAAGGGAAACATGATCTCACTTTTCATAGGCGCTTTCACCGAAAGACTGAAGGAAAGTTGCATTGGGTTGAACTTCACTTCTCAATAACACTTTACGAATATGAAATAAATTTAACGACATAATGTCAGATTTCATTCATCATAATGCTAAATCCGTACTGGACAATGGTATTAATAACCAAGGACATTCTATCACCTTTATCTCCTGAAATTAAACACCTGTTCAGCCTGAAGATAACTTTTAATGAGTTATCTATAAGTCTTTGACATCAAACAGTTAACATCCCTGCTGCAACATACAGCAATTTAAAAGCCATGTGTCCACAGAGACCAATTTAAAAAGCTGTGAAGGAAAAATGCTTAAAATGACCTCTTCTTTTGATACAAAACATGTAATCAACATCATTCCCTCAAGCTAACTTGCATCAATTTAAGTAGCTGCATTCAGCAAACCAACATATTTCTCTTAAGTGTTTGTTACGGATAACCAAAAAAAACCAACAACAACAAAAAAAACAAATCCAAGGTGCAATCATCACAGCTTCGGGCAGGTGATACAACAAAATGCACTTCAAAAGGTTTAACACCGGAAAATGGATTTTCAGTTCTGTTAAGAGAAATGTCCTAACATCCCTTAACCACAATCCTGATACACTTGCACCAGGTACCAGGGATTCATCAGAGCTTTGCAACTGATTGAAGCTTCACGTTCTCTGATCTCCTTGCCCTGCGGCAAAGGCTCTTCTTACTACTGCTATGTTGCTGCCACCAATTCTTTTAATTAAACCTGTCATCCTTCTGCATAGTGAGACTTTGGACATGAAGTCCCCGGCATCTCTACCAGCTCCACTGAATTAAGAGGGGTTTAGTTGACGTCCTGTGAAGCTTACAGACCCTGTATCTCCTCCTTGGTTCACTGCTTTTGTAACCTTTATGAAATGACTCCCAGTGTAATCTTTTTCAGAGGGTTTGAGATTGGAAATGAATTAAAATATAAAGATGAAGGTGGGAGAATCACTTCAGAGCTGTAGTCTCAATTGCTTCATTTCCCTTCGCTGTCAAGAAACAAAGACACTTCACAAAGACCCAGCTATCAAGTGTCTGCAGTTTGAAAAACTACTCTGTGAGAAAATCAGCACACGACAATCAACCCAAACATAAAATTGAAGTTCAGAATCTGGATTCATGCAATCTTTGGCAAGTCTTTAGTCCTCTTTAAATATTTAAATAATAAAGGAGCCTCTAAAAATAGCTAGATATGCACAAACGAATTGACAGGAAGCTGCTGTTTCAGAGTCCAAATGTCCTTATAAATCTCTCTTCCCATTAAGATCTTTAAGGTCTTTCTATGGCCATCTCTCCTCCCTCTCTTCACATGCTCTGGCCAGTCACTCACCATAGGAATCGTAAGTCTCCTCACTGAGTCCATGTCCGTAATCATAGTAATCAGCACCACTGTAGTGAACAAAACAAAACAAAGGACAAAATCATCTGGCTGTGAGTTTCAACAGTATTCAGTAAAGTACTGTAAAACTTAAAGACAACTAATGAAGGGCAGGACTGAACATTCAAAGGAAGTCCCACCGAGATCACAAAGTTCTAAAGCGGAAGTGTTAACTTTAGGATTATCAAAGGCCCCTTGTCTAGCTCCCTAATTTTAATACATAATAAATATGTTTTGACATTTTAACCACAACAATTGGCCACCCAACACACGGTAAGTGCCTAAAAGTACACAAGGGAATACAAAGACAGGACCTGACCTGGGAAGACTGGGAGTCTGCAGAGAGGGAGGATGTGTTTGGACAATTCTAGCCCAGTGTGCCAAGAGCTAGGGTTGGGCCTGTGCAAGGCACCGTGGGAGTGGGGGAGGAGGTAAACACTTCCTTTCCAATAGATGGGATGTTTACAGAAGGCAAAGACTTTATTGCTTCTTACACCCTCGTCTACCAGAGAACTTGGTGCTGCATGAATTGTGGGTGCTGTACCTTATAACACATTAAAAACAAATGCCCAGATGAAATGTTTTCTTTCATCGGCACTGCTGCATCACCATCCAGAAACTGCCAGGAAAAGGAAAGGTGACTCAGCAGCCATGGCCACATGGGACAGGAGAGCAGAGAAATGGATCTCTGCAATCTTGTCACAAATCTGGTTACACGAGGCCAAGGATCTTTCCAAAGTACAGGCAAATTCATGTTCCAATGTACAACATCCTTGAGAGAGCACGAGGAAAGGGCCATCACTGACAGCAAGAGAGAAGAGTCACCACTGCCATTTTGCAGATGATGCAAAACAGCCTACAGATATACAATATATTTGAACTAGGAATACTTTTTTACAGGAACAGACTTGTGAAAAGTCTAGATTACTAAGCCATAACCATTCTGTGTATCTGAGAAAGAGTTTCCACGGACCCTCTCAGGCTTTCCTCTTTCCCACTTGACTTAATTTTGAAGGGAAACAACCATCCTGAATTTGTTATCTTAGACCGTCATGAAAAGAAACATCCCCATTCTCCCAATTTCATACAATAAAGAGGTTTCTCATCAAAACGGAAAACGATCCAGCGCAGCTGTTTAACACCTCAGGAAGTCACAGTCTGAGGAGCACAGATGCATGCTGTGAATGCTGACTGAACACCAGTCGCTGCGATCCCACATCACCCCCAGCCTCAGAGAGTAAAACTGCCATACCCATTTGACAGATAAGGACACCGCAGACCAGAAGAGCTAAGAAGTCAGCCTAAATTGCATGGAGAATGGTATCGGTGAATCTCTTTGCCTACACAGGCCAGACTTGTGGTCACACCCACACGGACTTTTTCCCAACGTCTTCCTTCTCAGGAAAATGACACCAGAGACTAATCATCACATTCAAGGACTACAGCGCAGCATGGCCATTCCTATGAGAAAAGTGTAAGCAATGGAGCTATGTTCCTTTTTATCTCAAAATATGAGCATAAGTTTTTACATTTGCTACTCCTTCTGCCCTTAGAAGGCCCTTCTCTCCTCTCCTCCAGGCTACTTCCAACTCAAGCCCTTAACCTAAATGCCACTTCCAAAGAGAACCCTGCTAGTCTCCCTGAGTGAGGTTGGTTTCCCACGACAGCATGTCCTGGTTCTCACCCTTCTGGCCTGGAGGAGACCCTCACATTACATATGTTAAGTGGGTATACGGAGAAGGGGCACCTCCATCACTCCAGTGTGTCATGAATGGCTTCTTGGAGCATGCAGTGCTTGCACCATGTTCTGAAGGAACAGGAGGGTGAAGGTGAAGACAGGTGGAGAAGGAATGGACAGAGGCAATGACAGCAAAGGTCTTCCAGGCAGAAGAAACAGTATATGCAAAGCAGAGGCAGGAAACAGGTTGAAAAATGTAGGTGTCTACAAGCAGTTCAAACAAATATAGTAAGTATTGATGAAAAATGCCTGCACCGCGGTGGCTCATGCCTGTAATCCTAGCACTTTGGCAGGGTGAAGTCAGAAGATAGAGACCATCCTGGCCAACATGGTGAAACCCCGTCTCTACTAAATATACAAAAATTAGCTGGGCATGGTGGCCCACGCCTGTAGTCCCAGCTACTCAGGATGCTGAGGCAGGGGAATCGCTTGAACCCAGGAGGCGGAGGTTGCAGTGAGCTGAGATCATGCCACTGCACTCCAGCCTGGCGACAGAACGAAACTCCATCACAGAAAAATAAATAAATAAATAAAAGACAAATGCCTGGACCAGAATATTCCTTAGGATAAAATACTTCTTCTACACGTAGAACATAGGCCCCACTTTGTTATCCTGGCTGAATCATACCCTTACAAGTTAATTAAATGCAGTGTAACATGGTGGTTGATTTGAGCTCTCTGTATAAAATAAGTTATCTGAAATGTGCTGTGTTAAGCTCCGCTGGCTTAACACATTACAGAATAGTCCCTACTATAGCTGACCTAATATACCAACTAGCAATGTGCAATTTTTCCACAGAGGTACATGTAGCTATAGAGTTTTAAAACATGGTCTTCAAATTGAGGGCTGGCATTCCTAAAACAATTTAGAAGGAAAAGGAGTGTGAGAGGAATGCAGCTATTGCGAGCCACACCACTGCCCTACTGACAACTTCTCACGCGCACGAACTCACCTAATCTAAAAAAACTCTATGCTTTTACAGACGAGGCAGCTGAGGCCCAAGCTGAGCCATCTGCCCAGGGTCACATAACTTGTAAGTGGCAGCACCTACACTCAAAGCTCCGAACACTACCACTGCCATGTGCTGAACACAAATGCTACAGGTGGCTTTTGCTCACCACGGGTGGCCACCTTATTGGATTGGTTCCCACTTTGGCTTGGCCTTTTGCTCTTCCAGAATGTCTCTTGTTTGCCCTCCCTCGGGCTTTAATGATCCTTCCTCGTGCTCAGAAACAGAAGCCGGGCCCACATGAAACATGCTGCCACATGATCATAGTGATCTGGGACTGCCTTAGTCTCTCTCTGGTTTCCTTTCTGTAGTCCCAATTTTCCCTCACAGAATAATATACAGTTATGGTGAGAAGAGGAGGACTAACTGAAAAAAGAACAGATCAATTTTTATATTCAAAAAGATAATAAACCAGCAGAAACTAACAACAAAAGAAAAAAACACTGCTTTCCTGCTTAACTTATGATAGCTTTAAATATGAGAATGCTATTAAAGTATTAACAGAATATTTCTCTTGTCTTGAGAACTGAAATTGAGACTCAATTAAAGCTGTTGACAAAAATGTCTGTCAGCTGTCAGTCCAGGCCTGGGCCTCCACCCGCGGTGCCACCCTGGGAGGGCGGCTTCCATGTGGGGGTCTTCCTGTGCATCTGCCAAATCAGGGGCTGGTCTAGACGCTGCTCAGGTCTCCTGGTAGCTCTGACATCCTCCATGGCTCTTTCACAGCATCTCGCCCCACCGTAGTCAACATAATTTCTCATTTTGTTGAAAATAAATTGGCAAATGCTTCTTGGAAACTCAGCACTAAATTAAATGAACCTCAGTCTTTTTTCCAAGGGTCAGAAGTTAGATCGTAATGGCTCCTTAGACAAATACAACCTTGATGTTCTTGAGAATTTTATCTCTGTTGCACAGATAAATGAGTAACCTCACCATAACACGGAAAGGGATTTCCTTGACTGAGACAGTTCCCGATTGTTTAACTTGGAACTGTAAATGACAGGTCCTGCGACTAATAAAGAGAAGGGTTAACAACTCCTTTCTGACCAAACTAAACCTCCTTTATTAAATGAAGTGAGCAGTAATGAACATAACCATAGACTGGAAATTTACTGTGAGGTGCTGTAACATAGTTCAGCATAATAAAAATGAGGGTAGAGAATGTTTTTCAGTGCACGGAAGGTAAAAGTAGCATGATTAGGTCCAGCAATGGTTTGGTGATAAGACAATCTTAGTTTTGACAAGTGAAAACTTTAAAACTGACATTTGCTATCATTTCACCCAGTTTCTGATTATTTATTGCAAGACTGTCATCAAGCCGAGGAGCTGGGAGCAGCTGGGTCCCATTCTCATACCTGTCAGTTCTGTCTGAATTGCTTTCGCAGCATTTCATTTCGTCTACCTCAAATGTCTATTAACCAAAGACGTATCCTATTTCCCAAGGATAAACTAAAAACCCAACATATGGCAAAGGAGAAAAACACTAAAAATCTCTTCATTTATGGATACAACTTTTAACATTGATAACAGGCAAGAAAACACATTAGGCCAAATATGAGAATGGGCAAGAAACACATTAGGCCATCACTAGCAAAAATCCCTTATATAGTCTCGATCTCTTCTTTGAAAGTTTCTTGCTCAATGAAAACTTGATTTACCTCTAATGACAATTCTTCCCCAGCAACCCTCTCCACTTTTTTCTTTAACTCCCACAGCGGAGATGTCACTGGGTGATGTGGTTTGATGTTTGTGCCCCTGCAAATCTCATGCGGAAATGTAATCCCCCATGTTGGAGGGTGTTGGAGGTGGGGCTTGGTGGGAGGTGACTGGATCATGGGGGCAGACCCCTCATGAATGGTTTAGCACCATCCCCTTGGTGGTAAGTGAGTTCTTGCTCAGTTCACAAGATGTGGTTGTTGAAAAGCCTGTGGCGCCACCTCCTTCTTTCTCTGCTCCCACTCTCACTTGGCCTTCTGCCATGAGTAACAGCTCCCTGAGGCCCTGTACAGCCTGCAGAACTGTAAGCCAATTAAACCTCTTTTCATTACAAATTACCCAGCCTCAGGCACTTCTTCACAGCAACTGCAAAAATGGCTGAATACAATGGGCCTAGAGGAAAGAAGAGTATTTTTCCTTTTTTTGGCTAACCCCTCCCGCCCCTAAGGTACAGACACCTCTGCCATTTCCAGACCATTGTGCTTCACTCCTCTGAACAAACACCCAGCTTTCAATCTCTAAACAGCATCACTGTCCTGAGTCCTGG